GAGCAGTTTTGCAGTAAAATCCCATCTCAGAGTGAGTACTGCAAGGGCAGGTGGCTTTATCCAACCAACTGGTGGGTTCCATTGTCCCCAGTATATTTTCATATATATAATAATGGTGGTTAAGGAGCTATATAAAAAAAGATCAACAACTCACCTCTAGGAAGACTAAAGAATAACGACTAGAAGGAGACTACAATGTAGTGGAAGTAATGAGGGGACCATCCAAATCCCAACCTGCACTGATGGGAGGCAACATGAAAAAGTTGAAAGGTGTTAACTCTCATGGAAGAAGAAGCAAAGGAAGGAGCAAGATATGACATTGTTTATTGCCTCGGATGGGGGAAAGTACAGGCAAGCTAACAACAAATTTCTCATACAGGACGAAGGAGACAAACAAGGTCACAATGATTGTACAAAGATGATCTGAGAAAACATCTGATCACCATCTCAGACAGCCAAAGTATTTAGGAAGAAGCAGTGGTCTTGGAATAAAATCAGTCTGTCTCTGGGATAGTAAGTGCAGGAGACAATGTCACCCATAAGCAAAAGGAAGAAGCAAATATGTCTTTAGAGAAGTATGATACAGGGAATAAGTGGACAAAGGTTCAAATGAGGGACACATGGGAGTCCTGAAAACAAAACACAGGTTCCAGTCCAGAAGAGAAACTGGATGAAGAAAACTGATTATAAAATTTTAGAAAGGGTCTGTAAGAACTAGAAAAAATAAAAGAAGAGTAGCATGAGAAGAAATGGAAGGTCACTGATGAATATGTAAAAAATGATTGGATCAATCCAGCTAGAACTACAGTCCTAGACTGGTGACCACAAAAGTGGAAATGTGGTGGTGAGGAAAGTTGCAGAGGCATTGATAAGAATATTCCCAAAATCACTGAAACAGAACATGTACACTGTGGGAAGGATCCAGTCTAGTTGAGACAACCAATCTGCCACAAGTCCAAAGCTCCTAGGACATGACAGGTCAATAACTTAATGTGAGTGGTCAGGGGCCCAAAAAGAGAAAGTCCTGAAAGTTAGTGTCTTTCCTATCAGTTGATATAAGAAGTTACTGTTGTCTGAGTGGATCATAACAGGATGACCAAACATGTGAGACGGAAGATTTAAGGCAAGCTTGTGGATGAGCCAAAATCTTGTGCACGTTTAATATGAAGAAACTGCTCCTCCAGACCTCAGAAAGGGTGCAGATGTTTAGAATTGCACTCCACCCAGAGAAAGAACAATCTATGAACAGATGGAAGGTGAAGGAAGATGGATGCTCAGGGTCATATGGGACAGAGTGAGCCAAAAGATGGAGGGAGTGGCAGAAGAAAAGAAAGTGGATCTCTGGACATATTCCATTGAAGAGGATGTCAATGGGCACATCTGAAAAACAGAACCTCTGAAACAGGAAGAGAAGAAAATGTGAAAACTTTGGTACCTGAAACTTCATATTTCCAAGATGTACATGAAAAGGTTAAGCCTGCTCCATAAGCTCGTTGAAAAGTCTTCCTTTAAAATACAGTGGCTTATAGTGATACAAGGGAAAGTGTTATTGTTTGTGTCCCCCAAAAAACTACACAACAGGCCAAAGGAAATTGAACTTTGTACTGGAAATCCATAAACTGACTGCTGATTCACCAGAGAACCATTAAGTGAATCAGATAGTGAGAGGAGTGTCAAGATGGAGAGCTTGATCAGCCAACCTGAACAAAATGACTCCTAGTGAAGAAGGGAGGTCACAGCCAAAGATTCCACTTTAGATGGGACAAGTAGGAGATAGACATCCATACAATTGTGAAAATGTAGGCTCAATAAATGTCCTCAGGACCTAACTGAAAACATACAGTGCTGTAGCCAACACAAACAGAAGGGCTTGGAAGTGAGAAATCTGACTGTAGAGGATGATTAAAATGATGCAGCTGGTAGTCGACAAACTAGAATGTGAATTAATGCATACTTGGTCATCCACAGTCTAGGATAGAACACTCACATCAGACTGAAAAACATCATCATCAATATTGAACTGAGGAATGACAAGAAATTGGTTCAAGGAGAACAGAACAATGTTAGCTCACCAATTGCCCATCTTCTTGAGAAAGACAAAGATGCAGTAGTAGGGTTCAGGACTTGGCCCATGATATTCATAACCTGGAGAGAAGGCACAAGTCCTCCAAGAATTGAAGATGTAAGTGAAATGAGGGGGTGGAAAGAAAGGGATGCCCATGTGAACCAAAGGTCTTTTGCAAAGTCTGCAGTTGTGCAAAGTGGGAGAGCAGAGCTCCTACCAGCCCAAACCAGAAACAAGTCACCTCTGTGAATTGTGATGCCCAACCCTCTAAGAGGGTGGAGGTTAGAAATCATTAAGGCAAGGAGTAGAAGAGGGGGCAACCTTATAAGACTCCTGAAGACGAGAAACCTGTAGAGACCATTAAACTAAGCAAGGTGGAAATGGGAAGCGAGAAGAAAATTGTGCTGTTTCAGCTCAAGCTTCTGATGGAAAAGAAATTAACCTAAATCCTCATTACAGAGGAGAGGTATCTCATAGAAGTCTCCGAGATAAAACTGAGGATCAACTCCAGAAAGTAAAGTAAGGCATCTTGATCAAACAAATCACAGAAGCAAAGTAAGCAAATTACTTGGGACACTGTGGAAGATTTTAGAAATCAAGACCAAGATGAAGCCCAAATAAGGGGAGGATTTTTCCCCAAGGAAAGCTATCTGAGTCACAATGTAGAGCCTCCAAAAGAAGGAGTGTGGGTAGATAACAAAGAAGCTGAGCAAAAGCAAGATGAAGACAAACTGACTGAGGACAAGAGATAGAGAAATAAAGAATGATATCTCCAAGTTAGAAAAAGCAATTCAAGAGACTGAAGCTCAAAGAAAGAAAGAAAAAAATCACAAAAAAAAACACCTAGCAGAAGATTCTCTCTGTCTTTGAGGAAGAGGCACCTAGAGCTTAGTAAGAAGTCAAGAGAAAAAGGTATTAGCATGAACACTAATATCAGAGGAGGGGGAGAAAGAGAATATAATTATAAAAGGGAAAGCTCATGCAGCAAAGTATCTCCAAATATAGCAATCAGCAACAGAAGAAAAAAAAATCACATACTTGTAAAAAAAATTGTATCAAAGAATGTAAAAGTTCTTATCTGTACCTTAAATGGAAGGAATGAACTAGAAACAAGAGTAGGTGGAGGGAACAGCAGGTGAAAATCATCAAAAGATGAGGTAGGCTCAACTGAAGTAACAAAAGCAGGAGGTTGGGAAACCTGGATCTGAGATTAGAATGGAACCAACCACCTGGTGCACAAAGGCAGCAATGGTACAGGATTCCTCGAGTTGCCACTGAAAACAGTAACAGATGACTCCTGTTGTGGAGTGTTGGGACCTCGGGAAGTGGAAAAAATGTGTATTCGTGAAGTCACAGTCAAAATGGAGAACAGTACCGTCAAAGAAACCACATCACAATGCAAAAGTTTTGTAATCTGATGAAGATATCAAATTAACATAATTTGAATGAGAAGTTCTAACTGAAATGTTTAAAATTGTTATTGTTCTTCCTCAAAACCAAGAATATAAAGGTGACACTATGATTGATAACCAAGTTTAAAATAATAAGCACAAAGTCAAACAGTGCTGAGGAATAGAATGAGTCTCTGCTGAAATGTTAGTGCTCATTGGGTTCACTGTGCACGGAGGATGTGTCACCCTTCTATTGGTGGAGAACTACAGTCTAATAACCACATCACAGATTGGTACAATACACATTTAGGGGTGGGTGGGAGTTTCATTCAAGACTTGGTGCATGAACAAAATCATTTTTGGCAGTGGTGCAAGGTAATAGCCATCTGTTTTGTGTTGAGGTGAGTAGCATTTCTGAATTAAACTATTATCACACATTAGAAAAAAAAAACACATAACTGATTACTTTGTATTGTGATAATATTTTTCTTAATATGCAATATATTTTCAGAATTTTTAAAAAAAATCTAACAAGTTGTAATCCCCAATGATAAGAATCAAGTTAAAATAATTTTAGACCAGTAAAAAAACAAACTAAAACCCACTCAATGTATGGCTGTTACAATGAATACAGAAACCTAGTCGATTTATAGTTGCATAAATCATACATCTTTCTTACATGAAACATCCATAATGTTGCATTACAGATATAGTTGCATAAATCATACATCTTTGTTACATGAAACATCCATAATGTTGCATTACAGAGTAAAAAGGAACTTTTCTAAACATCCACCTTACAATATGCTGTTAAAAAATGTATTACCTAATATTCTGCTATTAAACTGTAAACATTACTTGAACACGTTTGTAATTTACATTTATTTTGTTAACAATTGTATCGTCATGCCAAAATGATTCACAAATTACACAAAACATATGTGCACCAGTTTTAAAAATGAATGAAACAATAAAACAAGACTATAAGCTCAGTTACAAATTTATTACAAATGTTTTTAGCGATTCTTTCAGAATGGATAAAAGATCAACTATGTACTTCTAACATTATCTACACACACATATATGAACAGTATATTTGTTTCATGAACTGATACATAATTCTACACCATACTTTCAAAATCCTGAATTAAATTCACTTTATTACGTTCAAATTTACAGAGTGTCTAAGTCCGGGAATTAGTCACACGTTATGACTAAACTTCTGTGCATAAAGAAAAGAGGATGACAATCTGAACAGAAAATTATTACAGAGTAGTAAAAAATTTCATCTAGCTTTAAAATAGTGCTTATTTTACCCAAAGTCTCGAAGCACGGGAAACATTATAAAAAAACATGTAACATCAAACTAACTCCATGTGCCATTATATTTCAAGTTATTTTCCACTCCAGAAATCTAAACACCATAAATTACATCGTGTAAGGTGGGAGGTACCATCAGAGAGCCAAAAACTACATACCTGCGGTGTCAATGCATGTTTTGAGATTCACGTGTTAAATTTAAAAGTATTCCTAAACACATCTTCAATGGCAACTTGTCCTTTACTGGACAGCCGTCTCGATCCAATTCCAGCAAACCTCTTCGTTAGTAGCGGTGTTCCGTTAAATAATACAAATTTTTTCCTTTTCTCACAGAAACTATACCAACGACATGAACCTTCACTTAGATCACTTTCATTATTCCGAATACAATCAAATACATAAGTCTGCTTATGATTATCGATACCCATCTGAACAGCCCAACCAGTGCCTCCTTCCACGGTTTCTTGGTTCTTGCTTATCTTTCCGATGGCAAATATTGCATCAGAATTCTGTACCTGAAACCAGTTGCGCCTTAATAAGTTATCAATAAAGGTTTTCCCTGTTGGATACTTTCTCTTCAGCGTCTTATTTGCCTTCAGCAGGTGAGGTTCGGCATTTGAGAGTTCTTGCTGCGACAAGACACACCGGTTTGGATTGGATGAAGCATGACCTCTGAATGAGTACGCGATTGTCTTGATTCCATATTTCTTTGCAGTCACTTCCCAGCACTGGTCACTTCCTCTAGCCCCTCCCGAGTGAATGACATATTCACCTCGTAAATAAAAAGATTCTACCTTTTTACACATCAGCAAACACTTCGCAAAGATTGAATCATCCATGTCCTCCCATTGGACGTCCTCATCACTGATGACTTTATCATGAGAAACTTTCAGTCTTTTCCTACTTCCATCCTCACTTGAAGTATCGATGACCAGGTCACTCTGGTTAGAAAATGAGCTTAAAGTATTGCACTCACCATTCAATGAATTTAAGTCTTGGGTTTGCTGGGAACCATTTCTTTCTGTGGAATATTGTGATTCAGTAGTCTCTGACTGTATAGATGCGGAACTACTGTATTCCGGGTTATAATCCTCAACCTTGTTTTGGTTCACCACAGACATGTTTTTCTAGAACCTATAAGACAGAACCAAAGTGAATTACATCACTGAAACAGTAGTGCCTGATTAATCATACAACTTCAATGTCTTAAAACAAGACTTTCTAGTGATCTTTAGAGATGTCGTTTTTACTTGTCATATCAATGAAACACGCACAAAGTTCAGTGCTTGGGAATGTTAAATGAAAGCCAACTTCTGCAGCAACCTATCTAACAAGACTTAAAACAAATTAATCACAATTCAATGCTAGAGTTAGATATAGAATGACTCATTTTTACATATTAAGATTATTTCACTTTAATGTAAAAATTCATAGCTCTTATTTAGCTGTTTGAAAAACTCTCCTTGTAAAACTAAAATGTTTTTGGTCTGGTTAAAGAGTTAGCGATGCTTTAGTAAGTTGTGTGTTTTTAGAAGAAAGTCAAGCAACATCGTCTGAAACAATCCAAAAATCAAGATAAAAGAAACGAGTAGCCACAGTACTTGAAATCTTACAGCCAGGAGTAGAGTAAATTAATCTACGAGACCTTTTTTATTAGCTATATACCAAGTGTGGGGCACTCATATACCCGATTCAATTTTATTACTCATCAGCCTACCTTCAAATTGAAATAATTTTACACAGGACTAGATTAAATTAATCTATGAGACCTTGGGCATGGTCACTTATATCAATCAAAAGGGTTTGACCTCCTGAGTCCAAAATTGTAATTAGATCTCCAATCGGTCAAGAGATGAGCTAAAAGTTTCTACTTGAAAAAAAAAAAAACCCAACTCTGAGCCATTCTATAAGCCACTATGCTGCAGCTAACAAAAATAATACATGTTTCTCCTCAACCTGTCTTAGAATATTGGTAGCAATACACTTTCCTGAGTCTATACTCTAAGATATTTACCTGACACTTCTTTTACCAGGTGGCTCTCTTATGATCTATTTACCAAGTGTTGAGCACAATCCAGTAACATTGTTTGACCCCTTATCGAAAATAGCCTACACATTTTACGTGCATGTGGCATAGTAACATGAGAGAATTGCAAACACTATAGTTCGTGTCCATACTCGTTCATGATATTTCCTTTCCTGTACTTTCAAGCGTGAACCAGCACAATTCCTCCGTTTGCATCTCCAGCACGAACTATTGTTTAACAGACTTACGTGACACAGCCACATGGGAAACATTGGTTTGTTTTTAATTTCACACAAAGCTACACTAGGGCTACCTGCAATAGCTGTCTCCTAATTTAGCAGTGCAAGACTAGAGAGAAGGCAGCTAGTTATCACCATCCACTGCCAACTCTTGGGCTACTCTTTTTACCAACGAATAGTGAGACTGACCATCACATTGTAACACCCCCATGGCTGAAAGGGCGAGCATGTTTGGTGGGACGGAGAATCAAACCTGTGACCCTCAGATTGCGAGTCGAGCGCCCTAACCACCTCGCCATGCCGGGCCCACATGGGAAACAATCAGGACAGTCCACACAAAAGGTGTATATTAAGTCCTTTGTAAATAATAATATGTTAATAGTAATCACTTCTGATAGTTCATCACAGATTGGACTGTGGTTCAAGTTTACGTCAGTAGATGGAGCAATGTTTTTTTCCCTCTGCGAGAACATCACTAATGACACAATATGAAGAAAAACATAAAACTGAATCAATATCCTTTATTGTAGGTTAATAAGATACAATTCAGCAATGAATGCACACTTGAAAGGTTAGGCTAGAGTCTAGATGATAAGCAAAGAGCGAGAACATCACTAATGACACAATATGAAGAAAAACATAAAACTGAATGAACATCCTTTATTGTAGGTTAATAAGATACAATTCAGCAATGAATGCACACTTGAAAGGTTAGGCTAGCGTCAAAGTTTCGAGCTTCTTAGCAGTCGAACAAAAACACCCTCTCATCTATCTGCATCGTGCAAAAGTTACTCAAATTTTGTACGTGAAATGCAAAACAGAATTTCAGCCAGCTTGTGCCCAAGTGATGGTCACATTATGGCTGTGTCATTTAGCTGGATTGTAGGGCTTTACTTTCTTTTCTGGGAAGATCCCCGATGTATTTCATATTAAAGATGTAATAGATACTGTTTAGTAAGTCAGCTGCCATGAATAGCTGATACATTTATATAAACAATTAGTTTCATTAATTTCACAAAACAATGTAGACTGTGGAACATACAAGTAAATGTTACAATCAATAAGAAAAATATTAACAAATTACATACTGGGGAGGATGCAATAACAGTATTTTAACAAATGATCATATGATACTTCCAGGTGAATACTTGTAGTATGCCTAGTATTTACAAATGCCAATAATATATAAAAGAGTTTTATGACTAATCAAGTCTTGTTTGGACACATCTAGTGCTTTTAAATTTCATCCTAACAGGGAGTTCTCTGCAATATCTCAGCAGGAACTGTCTTAACGATGGTCAAGTAAACGGGTCTTATAGACGCAGTGAATACTTTGAGGTATTTAGAGCAATTCACTGATTATTACAAGTAGCTTAAAATTGGAAAAGTGTCTCGTGTGGGATGACTTTGATGTAGTCCGTGATTTTTACACAGTGAAGTATCAACTGTGTAACTTATTACTTTTGTATAATGGCAATGGGAAAGCATTTTCTACAACTCCAGTGCACAACCAACTGGAAAATAAGCTCGCTCAGCACAAGAAGACTTTTTAATACACTTCAAGTGTGGCTTCAAGTTTTGGAGTTTTTATCACACTATTGGTTACTGATGATTGCTGAAAAGTTCCATTATACAGCTGGTGTTACGGCTGTACTGGATAACAATCTGACTCAGTAGGTACTGATGACGATTTGTTTACTTGATGAAGAACAAGCTCGGCCAAAGTCCATTCCACAGGACAATACATAAAGAATTACAATTTCTTAATATCTAGAGTTCTCCTGGAACTCATAGTTGAATAAAGAAAATGCTGGAACATCTAATGAATATATAAGGAAGATGGAACAAAAATAACAACACTGTAAAAAAGTTCTAATGATATAGAACCAAAAGTAATTTAATCTGATTAATTAATTATCTGATTAATTTCAGGCTTCAGTTTCAGCTCCCTTTTATACATAAACTCTCATTCATTATTGACCTTAGAATAATTTAAAATAATGATGAACACATACAAGGTTGACCATACACAAACTAACCAAGTCAGCTTCAGGTATAACTAACTTTTAGTTCTATAGGATATACTTGTCACTTTTATAAATGTAGTCCTAAATTATGCTTTGTCCATCCATTACAACTTATGGTTGTGAATATCTCAGGTACATCAGAGAACTGTAGCTGATTTCATGACAGTCAGCAGAAAGATTGTTCCAAATTTCAACCACTGCATTTCATAGAATCTTTTATCTTTCATCATCCAGCCCAACTGATGAGATCTGGTAATGAATGACAAGCTTACTGGGCAGTGATTGGCGAGAGGAAAATCATATTTTTATAACAGTTATAAGGATTTATAGTGCTGCAGGCAGAATAGATACCCCCATACACAAGCTGATAGAGAAATCATGGTTCACGTTATGTTGCCACGAGGTAAAATCGTATCTTATATATACATACATATATTTAATATAGAGGGTGATCCAAAACTATCTTTTCTATTTTAAAATGTAATAATTATCTAAGTAAGGAAATACAACCATGCAGTTTTCAACATCTTGTAGTCCGACTCAAACAGTTGTTACTGGCATGTCAGTAGACTTCTAAATATGCACCTTTAGTGGTTCTCCGTACATCTAACCAATATTCGATTCTAGTTGTCATTCGCTGCAACATGCCCACAGTTACAGTGGCAATAGTGTCTGTTATCCCGGTCTTTAGCTCTCCGATGTTTGCTATAGGTGTGTCATACATGGTATCCTTAACATACCCCCATACTTCTTTCCTGTACTGGTGTCTGAAATTACGCTGTACCACAGTCTCTGCAAGCCAAATGACACATTGAGCCCCATTTTACGGGGTAACACTTCTCACTGGAGGGAAAACAAAACATGACAATAAAAATTGTTTGAGCTGGGCTACAATATGGTTGTATTTCCTTAATTAGGTAATTATTAGATTTCAAAATAGGAAAGATTTTGGACCACCCTGTATAACTGTTTAAAGCTTTTAGTCATTTTATATGTATTCTTCCTAGAGCATGCAGATATTATGGATTGAGTTTCTACTGTAGACAGAATTAATGTAATAAAATTGTTGCATTTATTTAAATGTTTGTTACTGTCACTACTCTGTTTGCAACTAAGAGTTTGTAAGTTAAAGAGATAGTTTGAGTTTTTGAGGTACATATTTTTTAATGTTTATGTGTAAGTGCTTGATTTTCACATTTAAGAACCCTAAGGAACTCACACAGCTCCCTAGAAATCTGCTCACTGTTATCCTGGAAATAGAATGAACAATGTAGAAAAAAAAAAAAAAACACAGACAAAAACTACTCGTCTAACAAGCAAAGTATAACGGTAAAGTTTGTTTTCGCAGTTTTGGTCTATATGAATTCCACGCCCCTGTGTATACAGTATTTTATATGAAGCCTAACTTGTATGGAGATAATTACCTTTTTTCAAACATTTGAAAAACATGAAAAAGGTATCCAAAGATACATTCGAAACATTAATGATATAATCGGTGCTATGCAACTGTAATACAATTTATCACATATTTTGAGATTAAAAGATAGATAATATTTAGCAAGACGTACACAAATGAATAATAAATACACGTAGAACATACTTATAATTACATAAAACATTTGGCTACTGATGGGCTCAATTCTATGTTAAATGTCCTGCTCCCTTCTCCAATCTTTTGTTTTTACATTAAAGAAATTTAAAACATTTAAAATTGTCTTTAATTCACTATCCTATAATGAAGTAAAGTATTGAAAAATAATTTTAGTTTCTTTCAGGATGTGAACTCTCCTCCTTTTTAATCCAGATCCATTTAAAATGATCCTATTTTATATTATCTCACTTGCCGGTCACTGTTGACATACCTTTGACCTTTCCCTCGTGTGCTATGTTTTGCCTCAATTTGTTTCCATAAAAATCTCTAATCTTGGCCTTTCAGTGATGTCTTTTACTTTCACATTACCAACTGTGTCTAACAAAGAAAACTGCATTAAGATAAACACTTTAAACGAAACAAACCCACATTTTTCTTTCAGCTAATCATTCAAACAATTAACTTATCAATGCCGTAAAAATAACGACCAATCATTCATATGGTCCTCATTTACAGCAAGTCCTCACATGGTGAGCTTTAATTACTCAATCAAATTATATGGAGCCATAAGAGTATTACCTATGAATACATCAATACACAATTATATATGATTAATTATACCACAGAAAAATGGTATAAGAGAATATGAGACTTTATAAGAATTATATTATTTGTAAACTTGAATTTACATATATATATGATAACAACTAATTCCTGTGAATTAATGCAATAACAACAGTAAAAATAAAACTGGAAGTTTCAAAAATTACTATCAGTTTAAACTAACACAGAATAACATAAAACTTGCTCATCCTTGTAGGTTTATTTTAAGGATTCATGATTTATTAAATCTATATTTAGGTTTTCTTCTTAATGTAAGTTTCTTCTAAATATATAATTTAAAATACTAAGCCTCACTTTGTTCATTTGATATTAGCTTGAAGGACAAAGAATTACAAAAATCATAATATTCTTATTATTTCAATGCTTTTATTTATGCTTCTATGCATAATTAATGGAAACTTAATTTTTTACTATCTAAAAGTAATACTGTTGTCTATAGCAAAGAAAAGATCTTCAATCTAGTTATCTTTACTGTACAAAGTCATTTGAAATAAATAACAGTAACAATCCCGAGCAGAAGAAAATTACATGTTGTTAGACAGGCCTAACTATGAAACTTATCAGTAAAAACCAAAACTATTCATATTATTTACTTCTACACTAATTTACATTTTCAGCCGGCGTTTTCTCTGCCAGTATTAAATTAGTAGACCTTAACAAAACTTACATGTAACTGTTATGTGCAAAATAATTTAATTTTTAGTATTAGTAGTAATACTAATAGTATAATCTTCACAAATATCCTTTAACATAATAACAATAGGAATAATTTTAATACAATTCTTTGTGATTTATCATGTCTACACATGATACAAAGAAAAGTAAAGCCATGAAAAAGTTTAATTTCTTTACTCATAAAGTCTCGAACCCTAGGAATTTAAATTAAACAGTAATATTTTAACTTTTACTAAGTTTTAATATAAACCGAAATTCGTTGTAGACTGCATTCAAAGTCATATAAACACACTCAGCCAATAGTGTCTTCACTCTTATTGTCTTAATCATAGACAACGCAAGTGTAGCCCAAAATTCAATTTTTTCCAAACTTTGTTTATTTTTGCTGTTCTTGTTTGTTTTTACCCTTTGACTAATTCAGATCTTTGATTAAGAGTGAAGTAAATTATAATCAAGTTGTTTCATGTTAATTACCATTGATTTTATTTTAGCATTCAGAAAACGTGATACCGAACGAAGACAGAAAACGACAGTGTAATATATTATTTTGTGGGATAATATTAATTGACAAGAATTTCAATGGTAGCCCATGAAATAAGTATACTGAAGCTACTGGTAATTATTATGCTTAATTACTTTTTAGCTAAGGCCTAAACTATGTTAGTCTGACTTATAGTTAAAAAATTACCTGTCTAGTTTTCGAATGTCAATCAAATTTTTCAAAATTTCGCGCAAAGTTATAAAGTACCTATCTGTGTAAAAACGACCAAAATTTTGAATTGAGACTATCAACAAGACCTAACGCCAGTTCTTGGGCTACTCTTATCTGATGAAATATTGTAGGGTGCAACGGTTATCAAACAATCTTGGGCGTGCTTTAGTTAGGCGCGGTGTGTGTGCAATAGCTACATGTCAGTCTTTTGTTTTTCTATTTTCAAAAAGTAAGGATTGCTAAATTGAAAAGTTAATAATGTCGCCAATAACTTTTGTTAAATTTGCCAGAGAGACTTAGCAATAATAACATGTCAGAGTTACGCTGTTTTTTTTGTGTGTGTGTGTGTGTGTGCAATTACTAAAATCGTTAGCTAGGGGGATATTCAAATTTTTTATTTTCTTCTTAACTTAAGGAGTCTCTTTATGACAAAGTTTAAGAACCTCTGGAATAGTAGTCGAGTTCCCACCTTCTTGATACTTACTTTGTCCTTTGCAGTTAAGTTTGAGTCTAGAACTTAAAATATAGTTGATATTAAAATAATTACACCATAGCTAATCACTCCAAATACAAAGTAAATATATGATCACTTACCTCGACATCTAAGCTAATACTTAAGTATTTTTCGCGGGTTTATTTTAGATAAACATATAGTAAAACTAAAAGGTGATACTAGTTTACCAGAAACGGAAATAATTATCGTGGGTTGTTTATCGTTTTGTTTCAACCTCTTTCCATCTAATTCATATTTAACAATCTTTTTCAATGGTAACTCTGCATTACATCGTGTATTATTTTGAAACATGAAAACAATAGTGATTAAAAATTTTAAAACAATATCACTTAAGAAAAACAACCTGAATAATTCAGTCGTTATATTGATAGTTATATCTTATTTCACAAAAGACGCTGAATTATTCAACTTGCTCTTCGTGTTTACGCTCGTGAAAAACATTTGATAGAAATGATGCAATTAAAAGTGTTTTAGTTAAGTGATATTTTCCACTTATTTATACAAGAAAACTCGAATTTTTTTTAACGAACTGTACCGTAGCATCACAGGCATCTTCAGTATAAAACCTGTAAAAACACAAAAAATCACAACACCTATTGACAAATAATAAATTTAAACTTAACATTGATATGAAATATATAAATTATATTTTTTCAATTAACTTTTTCTTATATTATATTTATACATATTATTTTTCAATTACATTTTTCTAATTATATATTTATTTTTTATTTTTAAACATATATTTTAAAACTCAAATTACAAGATAAATTATCTTATTGCTAAAGTTTCAAATCAAAACCTAATTAAAAAAAGTATTTAAATTAACATCAACATTAGAATAATTTTTAACGTAAATTTATAAAATTAATTTTTGTTATTTGTACTTAAACACACAGTTACACAAAGGGCTATTTGGGCTCTGTCCACCACGGGTATCAAAACCCGGTTTCTAGTGTTGTAAGTCCACAGACTTACAACACCTAAGAACAACGCCTAAGTTTGCTAGTTTTCCGTTTCCGCCATTATCAAATGCAACGGAAGTGGGCTAATAAGATCAAACACTCCTTCTCTGCACAGATTTAATAAATAATTTAACAAAACCATAATACTGGATATCACAAACAGAACATAAATAAAAGCAACACAGTTTCCACAGAGCAAAACATAAGTAAAAGCTATCAGACTCAGCAAAACAGAAATATGTAAAAAATCTACAGGCTTGACAACACATAAGTAAAAATCACGTTGTATTAAAATATAGAATTTGAAGCATACTTTGATAAGTTCTGAATTGTTCCCATAAGTAGAACTGACAATCTATATATTCTTTATAACGTCAACATAAAAAACAAATTATTTAATTTAGGGTTAACCATGCAATGAAACCACGTCAGAGTTGGAAATCCTTAACTGAAGGTCTAAGTTTTAATAAACCAATTTGTCTCTGACTGCTTGCCAGAGGCTAAAAGATGAATAAAGTGGACAACATATAGAAACTATCCAAATGACAGTTACATAATTCTATACTGTCAGGGGCAGATCCAGGATTTTGAGCAGGAGATGGTCCAAATGGAAAAAAAAAAGTAAGCAAAAGAACAAGACGGAAGGCATCTTACTTATATTAGATAAAAAAAAAAACAAAATAATAAATTTTGTTTTTAAGGTTAATTTATGGT